ACACAGTGTCATTGCACTTTYCTGCATTGAYSACCATATAATTTAATCATTAGTCATTGCCCAGGTCTGACCTGTTGCAACGGTCCTGAACCAGCGGATGGGTTTAAATGAATCTCAGGAAGTAATCGCTGGATGTATGTTGATAACTAATTAACTTGAAATGAAGCCATCAAAATGACCACCACAGCTAACCAGTTAGTCAGTTTTATCAGMATTAATTWAAAATTTGGTGTRAAAGTAGCTGAGAGTCCTTCCAAACACACACTCTGAGCACCAATCGATCATGCAATATCTTGCAAGAATGTGTTTCTTTCGAGTTTTGTCCAAACTGGCCACAACGCTTGTCATTTTTCAACCTGAGATTATCTTATCATCTTCTGGCAGGAAACACAGTACATGCGTTTCTTCAAGGATTTATCTGCCTTTCAGTTGAAAAGAGGATAAAATAAAGTTTCACAAAAGATCAACTGGTCGCTCTGCTTGATCGAGTCAAGGTCATGTCTCAAACATGCTGTAAATGTATCTGTCGCTATTATTTCATCGTGTTAGGAATCAAGACTCTATTTACACTTTTGTGCACACGAGAGAAGAAAGCCCACACTGTCTAGACTCCAGTCTGTGTGTGGAGTGCAGAGTCTGAAGAGGGGTGTCAGGTTACTGCGTAAACTCCMGGCTCTTGAAACACAAAGAGCAGCAGATACTGAACATTAAGCTTCCATCTCTTATCTGTCGGAGAGTCGAACACACCTTGTAGATTAAAAAAAACAAACAGACAGCTCTTGTTTGGTGCAGTCATGAAGAATACTTGTTCACACACTTTTCAACCCCTCTTCCCTCCCCTCATAAATACCTAGAAATCATAAAAACTTGAATTCGTCTCCAGTCTTCTTCAGAAAGTGCCCCACCCCGTCAACTGTCAAGCGGTAATTAAGGAGTAAATGCTAGAAATACCTTCCATGGCCATTCTAGGACTCCGCCTCTTCACCTCCATCGCTTCAGTTCCCCCTCCCTCCATCAAAACGCCAACATCCTGTCTTTATCAGCTCATATTTCCCAGAAAGAAACCGCTCATGGTGGCACAGTCACAGAAGCCCTTCGAAACACAACACCTTATAACAGAACCCATGATTTAGTTTGTCTTTTGTTTTATTCTATTGGAAATCTGATAATCGAGTTTGCTGTAATTTTCATTCACAACAACATAGACTTAGCACAAAAAGTAAGGACGTGTTTATTTGGTAGATTATTTCTTTGTTGTAACAACGCTTCTTGACAATAAATCTTATACCGAACAGCTGATTGGCAGCAGCTCGAAACAAGTGTCATGTGTGCAACCCACATACTCAGCTCTACTGCTCATCCCACAAATGCAAGTTCCTTACAAATGTGGCACTATTTAAACGAGAAATTCACAGGCTTTCCAACTGTGTAAGATTTATTGCCAAGAAGCATTGTTACATCAAAGAAATAATCTGCCAAACACAAATTTCCTTACTTTTTGTGCTCTGTGTTGTGTATTTTCTCCACTTGGACAAAGGGGACATATAAAAAGACCGAGGAATACGTGCTGATGTTTTTAAGGCAGAGTATCCCCATCACACATTTGAGTCCTAAGAAGTTGTTTAAAACAGGCTTTATGTATTTGAGTCAGCTTATTACTCACTAAAATATCTCTGGAATCAGAAGACAGATTTGATTGAAAATCCCAAAAGGTAACAATTAAGTGCAAGTGGCAAACACAAAAATAGTTACAACTCAGTCACTTTTGCAGAAATTGAACCATAAATCAAGTGTTTTTATTCTCATGCACAGTCTGTCGTTCTTTATTTAAAAACAGGAAAAGAGACATTTTAAAATTCAAATTTTTGGTTTATTGTTCAAATATATTTTTAAAAGTTGTCAAGTGCATATGAGTCTTTTTTAATAGTGATACCATGAAATCAGGAGCAGAGACAGAATCTTTGTCTTTCTAATCCAAACAAAGGTTGGACTAGACCCCCAGAGGTCAAACACATTGAATTTTAAATGCTCCTGGCACTCTGCACAAATCATCCCAATGAATGAATGATTAAAAATTCGACCTGCTTTTATCTGTTTTGATTTGCATTCAAACACAATTGGCTTAAAGCCAGAAAAAGGTCTCATCATCATCATCATCATCATCATCATCATCATCATCATCATCATCATCATCATCGCTGTCGCTCATCTCTCCACGTGAGCCTGCTTGGCCGGAGCTGAGCAGCTAATTAAAATGATTAGAGCCAGCAGAAGTTGTTTTTAAATGAAATTTGTTATTCCAATGGAGATGGGGAAACAAATTTTAATCAGTTCCTGGCAATTTGCATTTTACATGATTTTCTGTCAGGACCACCGTTCAGTTCCTGCTGTTCTTTAAATTCAAACGTCTGCAGCAGACTGAGAGGAACACAAGGTGAAACACAAGACTATTATTTTTGTTTAACTTTCAGCCACAGACGGAAATAAAATAGAGAATTTTCTTTATATTAAACATATAATACATACGCACATTCATATATAT